TACTAATGTTATAGACGCGAAAGTTTGTGAGTTTGGATGGATATTTGTTACTCTTTCACGCAAAAGCTACTGAACAGATTTTGATTTTGATGAAATGCTTTACAGTGAAAGGAATATTGTCTGGAATGTGTACCTATTGTATAAATAATATTGTAACGATCCTTCTGAATTTAATAAAGATTATTATTATTATAGCTTATACATGAGAATAACACATAGGCTGTAATTTAAAAAGATATTATGTAAGATAGACAATATAAATATATGTTCTGTTTGTGGATTAAATTTTAAATAAGTTAACAAATATAATTTTGTAATGTATTTCTACCTGTTGAGAATTATTTGAACAACTAACTATCACAATATCAGCCACCCCCAGTGGGTGTTCCCTAATTACATAGCAATTAACACAAATACATACCTACGCAGTTAACTGCCGATCAATATAATAGTATGTAATGTTACAGCTCACGTGTCGCTTACAAAGTGTAATAGAAAAGTTGACGACCTCGGTGGTCTAGCGGTTTAGCACACCGTTTTAGCTCCGATGGTCGCGGGTTCGATTTCTCACGGTGCAAACATTTGTATTTCTTTGTATCTGTCTGGATGCTTTCTGTGTATTATGTGTATGTATTTACCACAAAAAATGTCATCACTTGTCTAGTACCAATAACACAAGCTCTGCTTATCGTAGTACTAGATGGCGCTGTGTTGTCCAAAAAAAATATAGAAATAATCTTCATTTAAATTAACATAATATAAGCACGTTTTAAAAATATAGTCATATTTTTTTTATTGTACCACTCATTTGAAACTCAGATTAGAAGTAATCGTTATTCATCGCGTTTAAGTGGCCAGCGAGAAAACATGAAATCCATAAAAGCTAGTAAAATGCTGGCACAAAAATCTTACGAGTTGTAAGTTATGCGAGTTATGATAGAAGTGTAGAAAAATCTTAAAATTGGTTTACAAAGTTCTAACAACAGTTTGTAAAAGTATGTTTATTGATTGTTATAACAATGCAGCATAAAGTTTGCATACAAAGTATGGTTGTTCCGCTAGAAAAGAGCAACGACGGAAGCTTTAAACTGAAGGTTGGCGGGAATAGTGAGGTAACGATAAAACTAGTGTCCATAGATATATTTTTAATGGGAATAGAATCTTTTTTACCATTTTTTTATTTAAAATATTTCATAATAATTCTAATATTAAATTAAATCTTTTTAAATAAAAACTTTTAAAATAACTGTCTAATATTTATTAGATATTTTAATATTTTATTTTGTCTCTAATGTTGTCAAGGCTGTACGGTCTAAGGATCTTTGCCTGTTCCATCATTGAAATACGAATATGGGAAAAAATCAAATGTTGTCATTCTTGAGTAAGTCACAGTTCGAAATTCAAAAGATTTTTTTTATAAGGATATGTTATTTTGGTTGGACTTACTCGTCCTACACTCCGAACAAAATATTTTTGTATGTAACTGTGCAACCATATTTTTTATTTCGTCATATTTGCTATTAGATTCATTTTTAATATTTTGCCTTATGCGCAAGCTCATCTTACTTACATCTTATGTGAAATGTGAATACTATAACCATCAGATGGCAATTGTGAGTAGCTATGACGTGGTCTGGTGTTTTGAGTAGTCATGCTCACTAAAATGTCCAGACTCGTGGCGGCGTGGTGGGCCGGGTCATTGGGCTCCCTAAAATATGGTCGAGCGCAGTGGTGGCTGGCTCATCCGTCATACTCGTGAACGGGTGCTGTTTTTGGGGACTGGTCTGCTCTAATCACTATGACTTATTTTCTCTTATTAATTGTTTAACCAGTTGTTGTGTATTGAATGTTTCTTCTATTTTATTATTTCATTGAATTAGTGCTAATCGGTGGTTTGTATTCACACACTTAAACTTAAATTGTAAGTAAGAATAAATTATTTAAAAGAGCAACACACAAGTTTCTTGCTTGTTCTTCTCGTGATGAGACAGCATTCCGAATGGGCGGTAGATTAAAAAAAAATTTTTATGACTAATCAGAACTGCTTTTATTGTAAGTTTATTTGAATAAATGATTTTCTATTCTATTCTATTCTATTCTTATTAATATTGTAAATACGAAAACTAATGAGTATGGATGGATAGATGGATGTTTGTTACTCTTTCACGCAAAAACTACTGAACGGATTTTGATGAAACGTTACAGTAATATAGCTTATACAACAGAATATTATATAGGCTATAAATTTCACGCGGGAAACCGCGGGCACAGCCAATACTGTATAAAAAGATGAGAGTTCTAAAAATATCGTTGATATAAACATTGTACCTGCTATCCAAGTAGACAGATAAATTCTATTAAAATATCCATGAATATATAAATACGGATATCCGAGCATCACTTCACGGATATGCCCAGGTCAGCAAAAGCGGTTACATATCAAGAACGACGGCGAAGTTTGAAACTATGTACGAATAATGTTTTTATATGCAATAAAAAGTTATGTTTCATAACTTATTTATTACGAAATTAGTCTCCTGTGATTTTGACGACCTCGCTGGTCTAGCGGTTTGCGATGTCGCGGGTTCGATTCCTCGCACGGTATAAACATTTGTATTCATGAGTTGTTTGTATCGGTTTGGGTGTTTTCTATGTATAATATATATTTACGAAAAATAAAGTATTTAGGTCAGTTATCTAGTAAACATAACACAAACTCTACTTACCTGGGGACTAGATGGTGCTGTGTGAATTGTCCTAAAATACTATTATAATATTATTACTAGCTGTTCCCGCGACTTCATCCGCGTGGAATTAAACTTTATTTTTTTAAAATAATGGTAGCCTAATTTACTCCGTATTACATCAGCTACCTGCCAAAAAAAGTCCCGTCAAAATCGGCTCAGCCATGTCAGAGAATAGCTGCAACAAACAGACAGACATACAGACAGACAGACTGTCAAAAATTGTAAAAAATGTTATTTTGGTGTATGTACCGTATTTATATTCATATGCATGTAGTAAAAAAACGGTTATTTCAGTATTACAAACAGACACTCCAATTTTATTTATATGTATAGATGTATACATTTCATATATATATATTTATATTTAAATGACGATAGTGGAACTATACCACACCCAAAGTTAGGTAGAAAAGAGAATATTAATCGATTACGTCACACTTTATCGTGTCGATAAAGTGTGACATTGTGTGACAAAAAGGCAGTCTTCGCAAGAAGCAATCTCTTCCAGACAACCTAGGTAGAGAAAAAACAAAAGTGGTAGGTGGCCCATGAAGAATATACTATGCAAAAAAGATAAAAAAGATTAGAGTTGTAAAAAAAATCGTTGATAAACTTTGTTCCAGCTACCTCGGTATTTATAAAGTTCTGGTACTCTAACTGTAATTCCTACTTTCCAAGTTCCATTATTATTTATTTCATCATCATCATCATCGCAGGCCGGAATACGTCCACTGCTGGACATAGGCCTCCCCTAAAGATCTTCACGACGATCGGTCCTGCGCTGCTCGCATCCAATGCCTTCCAGCGATCTTGACCAGATCATCGGTCCACCTTGCTGGAGGCCTTCCCACGCTGCGTCTTCCAGTCCTTGGTCGCCACTCGAGGATTTTACTGCCCCAACAGCCATCTGTCCTACGAGCTATGTGCCATGCCCATTGTCACTTCAGAGTCGCAATTCTTCGGGCTATATCGGTCACTCTGGTTCTTCTTCGGATCTCCTCATTTCTGATTCGATCACGCAGAGTAACTCCGAGCATAGCACTCTCCAGTTGCCCTCTGAGCATAGCTTGTTCATGAGGCCCATAGTTAGCGACCACGTCTCTGTGCCGTAAGTCATCACTGGCAACATACATTGGTCGTAAACCTTCGTCTTGAGACACTGCGGAAATTTGGACGAAAAGATATATCGGAGCTTCCCGAACGCTGCCCATTCCAGTTGGATTCGACGATTGACCTCTTTCTCGAAATTGGATCTGCCTAGCTGGATATTATTTATTTATTTCACATTAATTCGTTCAGTTCATTTTTGTTTATAAATAAAAAGTACATTATTCACTCTCGAGGACATAGCTGAAAATCAGTGTTTTGCTCCTTGAGTGATTCTCTACACTGAGCTATGTACCAGTTTTGTATTGTAGCACACATTGCAGGTTTACCCTTATTGAATTTTTATATTATAGGTATTTGTCATGTGTTGTTATAATTACGCCTATATGTGTGTATACATACAAATAAAAACTATTATCTATCTAAATTTAGAGATTTACACAGATTCTATTTAGAGAGTTACACAGGTTGGTGCAATAAATATTTTGTTAGGTATAAATGACGAACGCATGTTGACAAGTTTTTTTTTGCTAGAACCTTTGCGATCCTGGAAGAAATAGCTTTTCAGCGATGAGACCATACAGTGTTGCCTCTTTTTTTTCTTTTGTAATGGCTTGGCAATTGGTGCATTTGCCAACATCAAAATTTGTGCCTGTTTTGCACATGGTTGTGTTTATAAATATTTAGATATTTATACATGTAATTAGTAAAAATCACGGCATCTTACCACGTTTTATATTAATTTACTGAGTTCCCGATATTTCGGCTGTGTTTCAACCGCCATGATCACGGGTAAACTGTAAATCGTAGTAAATAAATATAAAACGTGGTAAGATCCCGTAATTTTTACTAATTATACGTATAAATAATGACCGCGTCAATTTTAAAAAATAATTTTGATATTTATACGTAATAGTGTATGTTTTGTTGTCTATGAGTAGAGCAATATAGAATTTTTATTCCATTTGTGATTTATCAAAGACTATGCGGTTATTTTTTTTTTGTTTTGTGGCTACGGCTATGATGCGGTGTGACACTTATTGTGAGTGTTACCTAGCAATTGTTGTTGATTGTAGTATTATTAAAAAAAACTAAACGGTACTGGTAGAACTCATTGTACTATGGGAATCAAATATACCTAAATACATGCAATCAAAACAAATAAAATTACGAACTAATAAATGAATGAACAAAAAATTAGCTATATGGTTAATTTAATGCGGTCGAAGTGGGAGCGAGAGGTATACCAGCGAAATCTCTACAATCTTCTAAAAGATCTCGCCCTGTCTAGAACTGCAGTAAGTTCTTACTAGAACGTGTATCTAAAGCTGCACTAGTAGACTCCTACCAGATCTGTGTGGGCAGAGAGAAACACGAGCGGTGAAGGTGAGTGTTGACTGTTGACGTCCGCAAGGGGAACTAAACCTACACCCGGGTCACAAGGCCCGGGAACTGGGAGGGACACTCCACTCAGGATCACATGATGGACCACGTGCCGGGTCCATCGTGTGTTTTATTTTATAAACTGTATATTCGCAAGTGGTATCTATTGCTAATTCTGCCTTTATTGGACCAATATATAAAGAGCGCCTGCTTTGCGAGCGATTAAAGTTTCAATGTATGAATTAAGTTTTTTATAGCTTGTACTATAGTAGACTAGCTGTACACGCGACTTCGTCTGCGTGGAATTTAACTTTATTTTTCTAAAATAAAGATAGCCTAAGTTACTCCTTAGTACATCAGCTACCTGTCAATAAAAGTGCCGTCAAAATCGGTCCAGCCATTTAAGAGATTAGCCGGAACAAACAGAACCGACAGACAGACAGACAAAAATTGTAAAAAATATTATTTTGGTGTCTATATCGTATTTATATTCATATGCATGTAGTAAAAAACAGTTATTTCAATATTACACATAGACACTCCAATTTAATTATATGTATAGATGTATATGTATATGTATAGATGATCGATCCCCCGTCCAATTCCAACGGGGAGATTACGCCTGAACAAACAGTGGTGCCCTCAGACAAATGAAAATTGTAAAAAATGTTCCGCGGGTTTTGATCTGCACTCGCCCCATAACGTCCGGTGAATTTATATTCATACGGCCAATGCATTAGAGTAGTAAAAAACGGTAAAAATAGCCATTCAAAGATTACGGAACAAACAGGCAGACAGATGAAAATTGTAAAAAATGTTATTTTGATGTATGTACCGTATTTATATTCATATGCATGTAGTAGAAAACGGTTATTTCAATATTACATACAGACACTTAAATTTTATATATAATCTATATGATTTATAATAATAATAACCCTAGCCAACTTTCACAGCGCTATCTAGTCCCGAACTAAATAAACCTAGACTTTTTTTAAAGGCGTACCTTTCAATTAACAATTTCCATTAACTGCGATATACACTGGCGGGGCATCAGTAGTATAACAAGATGAGCATGAGGTCAGATCAGTTAGCCCATCGTGGCACGAGGAATTTATCACGATGGTTTCCAAGGGGAACCGCGTAGAGGTCAAGCTGACTTACATTGCTCACGATGGAGTATTTAGTGCACGTTGTTAGGCACCCCTTACCCCCAGCAGACCTTGTATTATGGGTATTAGACAACTGATATACGAGTATACGTGGTACGCGGGAACAGCTAGTAGGTATATTTTGAAGGTTTTGTCATCAATACAGTGTATAAATTATTAAAATTAAAATTTTAATATTTATACACATAAAAAAAAGGATATAGGTATAGTATAGATATATCTATATATATAAACTAAAATAAAATAAAAAGATATAGACATATATAAACTTCTGTAAACATTTATAGTATAGATATATCTATATATATAAACTAAAATAAAATAAAAAGATATAGACATATATAAACTTCTGTAAACATTTACGCATGGCAACCAGTAATTAAGTCAACACTATATACCTGAACTTGTTCCAAGTCATAATAATTATAACATCATAGGTATAGTATAGATATATATATATAAACTAAAATAAAATAAAAAGATAAATACATATATAAACTTCTGTAAACATTTACGCATGGCAACCAGTAATTAAGTCAACACTATATACCTGAACTTGTTCCAAGTCATAATAATTATAACATCATAGGTATAGTATAGATATATATATATAAACTAAAATAAAATAAAAAGATAAATACATATATAAACTTCTGTAAACATTTACTCATGGCAACCAGTAATTAAGTCACTATATACCTGAACTTTTTCCAAGTCATAATAATTATAACCTCATAGTGTATGTCTTGTTGGTCGCTCAAATAAATAAAAAACGATTAAAAGAATAAAAAAAATTGAAGTCGCTTTCGCTGTCTAAGTGAATAGCTTAAATCTTTTGGACTATTCAACAGATTTTAATGCAGTTTAGCAATAGATATAAACCTTCCTCTTGAATCACTTTTTTTTATAACACAGGGGACAAACGAGCATGCGGCTCACCTAATGGTAAGTGATTACCGCCGCCCATGGGCATCCGCAACACCATGGGAATTGCCAGTACGTTGTCGGCCTTTTAAAAAGGAATAAGCTCTTTTCTTAAAGGTTTCAATATCGTATCGGTTCGGAAACACCATTGCTGGAAGGTGTGGTTGTGCGTGGCAAAAAGTTTCTTCACTCTACAATATACATCCGTACAACGCCGGGGCGGGTAGCCAGTTTAAAATAAAACAGTTTATGAGTGAAACTGTGCAACCTTTTTTTTTCGAGAACATTTATAGATCGCTTTGTTTCAATCTTTATACGGGTAGTGCCAACTTTTATAAAACAGTGTTAATTGCTCTGTGAAAATATGATGCATAGGTTGTTTCTCTGTTTGGCATGAAGCTAGCGTTGTCTATTATGCCACTAACAAACAGGAAACGGGGCGGGATAATGGAAAAGAACGGGTTAAATTTGGCATTACTTGGATGAGTTGTGGATTTAAAAGTTAAAAGTGGATTTAAAAGAAATAAATAATGAAAATGCTTTATAAATCATAGAATTAGAATGAGCTAATAGGAATACAATAGTAGTATATTTTATCCACAGGTGGATAAGCAAAGAGACCATACAGCCTAATCTTCAGTTGAACAGATAAATTAATTGAAGACTTACTCTGTGGTTAGTACTAATAGTAGTATAGTTTATCTAAGGGGATAAGCAAAGATACGAGGCCATATAGCCTAATCTTCAATTGCATAGACAGATTGATTGAAGATAGTTACTCTGTGGTTAGTACTAAGTACTAATAGTAGTATATCTTATCCATAAGTGTGTATGCAAAGGTTTAAGACTATACAGCCTAATATTTAATTGAATAGATAGGTTAATTGAAGTTAGTTACTCTGTGGCTATTAATGATAGTAGTATATTTTATCTATAAGTACATATGCAAAAGTCTGAGAACATACTGCCTAATCTTTAGTTGCACAGATAGGTTAATTGAAGTTAGTTGCTCTGTGGTTAATGCTATTAGTAGTAAATTTTATCTAAGGAAATAAGCAAAGATACGAGACTATACAGCCTAATCTTCAGTTGCATAGACAGATTAATTGAAGATAGTTGCTCTGCGGTTAGTACTAATAGTAGTATATCTTATTCATAAGTGTATATGCAAAGGTATAAGACTATACAGCCTAATATTCAATCGAACAATTAGGTTAATTGAAGTTAGTTGATCTGTGGTTAGTACAAATATTATAGTAGTATATTTTATTCATAAGTTGATAATAAAGGTACTAGACCATACATCTTCAGTTTCATAGATGGCTTAATTGATTTTTTTTTATACTACGATGGTGGCAAACAAGCATACGCCCCATCTGATGGTAAATGGTTACCGTAGCCTATGGATGCCTGAAACACCAGGGGCATCACGTGCGCGTTGCCGACCCTTAAGGAACATTAATATACCCTTCTTGAAAAACCCTATGCTGTAGTCTCGTGGGAAAACTTTAGCAGGTAGTTAATTACACTATGTAAGTGTAAGCTATTCTGCAACCGTACTGTCTGAGACTACTTAGGTTCCAGCGTGAAAGTTAGTTGCTCTGTGGTTAGTATGAATGGTAGTATATTTTATCTATAAGTGTATATCCAAAGGTATAAGATCATACAGCCTAATAATCTCCCAAATTTGAATTTAAATGAAATAGTATTATTATAAATATGTACAACATTAAAAAAAAAAATACGAGCTGAGTTTCTTGTCAGTTCTTCTCATCTCGAAATCATTCCGAACTGACGGTAGATTTGACATATCATAAGAGTCTGTAATAGACCTACATGAATAAAGATATTTTGAATTTGAATTGAATTTGAATTTGAATATTTAGTTGCATACATAGGTTAACTGAAATTAGTTGATTTTATTTTTAATGCGGGTAATGAAGACCTATTACGAGTATTGTACAGGTTAGCTATAGTTATAGAGGTATTTAATCTGCAGTGCTATACGCTATAGCTTATTTGAAGATTTTGGCGGGTTAATAGCCTTGGTCACGCACACTTTACTTGTTGGAAAACCAAAAACTAGGTAGAGTTTCAACAATTATAATATAGATTACGTTTCGTGGCGCAGGTCAATAGTTCAAATGTCAATAAACATAATTTTTAACCTCCAACGCAATAACAGGGGTGTGTTTGGGAGTATTATGTTGACGGCCTCGGTCTAAAGGTTAGCACACTGCTTTATTTCCGATGGTCTCGGGTTCGAGTCCTCGTACGACACAGACTTTTGTTTTCATGGGTATGATTATTTGTATCGGTCTGGGTGTTTTCTATGTGTATGTATGCATTTACGAAAAAAAATCTGTGTATTTATATCAGTTATCTAGTACCCATAACACAAGTTTTAGCTAGCTTAACTTGGGTCCAGATGGCGCTGTGTGAATTGTCCTGTTACACGCATATGAATATATGTAAATACGGTACATACACAAAACCACTTTACAATTTTTGTCTGTCCGTCTGTCGGTCTGTTTGTTCCGGCTAATCTCTAAAATGGCTGAACCGATTTTAACGGGACTGTTTTTGGCAGGTAGCAGATGTAATAAGGAGTAACTTACGCTACTTTTATTTTACGGGAAACAGCTAGTATAAAATAATAATAGTACTTTCATCTACGGGTATTGTACCCAAAACACTTGAAAATAGTGCAAACATTAAATATTTATCCTATATATGTTCATATTTAAATATTTGTCCTAGATATGTATTACTATACATATCTCTTACCAAAACCACAATACTGAATTCCCATCTTATTACTAGGAATTTCTTGGCTTCCTCAATAACATCTTCACAGCGCAACCTTTCCCACACTTGGCTAAGGTCAACGTGGGTGGATACCTTCTTTTAAATTTATAAAATAAAAGATAACAATAATAATAATAATAATAATTATTAAAAATATATGCTATATAGTGAGAAACTACTGTCTGTCTGTCCCTATCTATAAATTGTACCCTACACTCGTCCTTATTGACCCTTTTCAGATTCCCCCCGGGTTGAGTTATAGCCGTTACATCGAAGTGTCCCAGAGCGCCGGTTACATGGTTACAAAACAAGAATCGTGTTTATGGTCGTCAGTAATGCCAACTTTATGGACGTAATTTCCTTATTTTGGTGTGTTGACTTTTAAATTTTACATAGATATACGTGGAGCGGAGGTAACTAATGTGTCTGATGAGTGAGAGGTGCTGAGGGTTTTAATAAGGAGATTACGGAGATAAAATAATGTGCGACTAATTGAGCTATTTTATTTACCCTAAGGGCTCCGCTGCAGAAGCAAAAGCAGCGCTGTAGCTTCGGCTGCAGCAATATGCTGAGCGGAGTCCTGTTTAGCAAATGTTTATAATAATAATAATGTTCAAAATCTACCCTGTAACATCGTAAGCACAGATTATTATATTAGAGTCCGTTAGTTTTCTGTTCCCGCGCCTTTCGTTCCCCTCCATTAACTAGTACTGAACCGACTGTACGGCGGCCATGACGCGCGCGCAGTGTGTTGTGAATTAAAATAAATTAGAACTGTGAAACCTACTGTGAAAGTGTGTGAAAGCTAGCGAAGATATCTTCGAGACCCTGAAGCCCAAGAAATCCGCAGAATCATACAGGTACATGACTGACGCTTCCATCATTTTTCACTATATATATACAGAGAGTAAATTCCCTAACATTTTGGTAGCAGAGTAGTTTCCCAAACAAATAATAATCTCAGGACAATTCACACAGCGCCATCTAGACCCACGTTAAGCTAGCTAAAGCTTGTGTTCTAGGTACTAGATAACTGATACATATACATAGATATTTTTTTTTGTAAATACATACATATTATACATATAAAATACCCAGACCGATATAAACAACCATACTCATAAATACAAATGTAGGTACCGTGCGAGGAATCGAATCCGTGACTATCTGAAGTAAAGCGGTGTACTAAACCGCTTGACCACCGAGGTCGTCGCAAAATAGAACGCTGAATGATCTCTTTTATACATAAATATTTTTGGTACAAAATTTTATTTGACTTTGCCGTTATCTCAAAAAGGGTTTTTTAATAGATGATGACAATGGAATGGTGCACGTGTGGTAACTGTTTACGCTGGCGGGGCACCAGTGGAGAATGATAAGATGAGCATGAGGTCAGGTCAGTTAGCACATCGTGACAAATTTCCCAGGGATTTTTTTTTGTAAAGGATGATAATTTTTTTTATTTATTTATTTAATTCGGTTTACGCTGCCGGGGCACCAGTGGAGGATAATAGGATGAACGTGAAGTCAGATCAATTAGCCCAACGTGACAAATTCACCGGGAATGTATCACGATGGTTTCCAGGGGGAACCGCGTGGAGGTCGATCTAACATGGTACATTGCTAGCAATGGAATCATCAATCTCCCCAGGGATTTATCACGATGGTTTCCAGGGGGAACCACGTGGAGGTCAACCTGGCATGGTACATTATTAGTAATAGGCTTCTAAGATTAGGGGAAAGGGGATTGTTAGTAATGTGCAACCTCCTTTCCCACTCTGAAAACGGTTTACGCTAGCGGGGCACTAGTGGAGGATGTTAAAACGAGAGGTCAGGTCAGTTAGCCCATCGTGACAAATTCCCCACATGATAGTGGAATGGTGCTCCCGCCTGCGCTAACGGTTTACGCTGGCGGGGCACCAGTGGAGGATGACAAGATGAGCATGAGGTCAGGTCAGTTAGTCCAGGTAAATTCGCCATGAATTTATCACGATGGATTCCAGAAGGAACTGTGTGGTCAACAATGGTATATTGCTAGCAATGGGGTTGTTAGTAATAATTCCTTTTACCCCTTATTAGATGGGGTAGTAATAATGTAGATCAGCCATATATATGTGTACAAAAAAAAGGACACATTGAAATATTTATTTATTTATAACACTTTGTTGCATCAACATAGAAAGGTAATTAAAACATTCAATATTAAACTAAGACCAAAAGGCGGTCTCATCTATTGTCTATTACATATAAATAAAATTGGAGTGTCTGTTTGTAATATTGAAATAACCGTTTTCTACTACATGCATATGAATATAAATACGGTACATACACCAAAATATTTTTTTTACAATTTTTTACTATCTGTCTGTTTGTTCCGGCTAATCTCTGAAATGTCTGAACCGATTTTGACGGGACTTTTTTTGGCAGGTAGCTGATGCAATAACGAGTAACTTAGTCTACTTTTATTTTAGAAAAATAAAGTTAAATTCGACGTGGGCGAAGTCTCGTACAGCAGTAATACTAAAAGAATGGATAAATATACATAAATATATGGACACACACACAAAGTACCCATTGTTACAATTACTGTAAGTAAAATAAAATATTAAAATAACAGTCCATAGAGACCGCAGTTGAGATGGCAGTATGCGTTGATTCCCACACCCCGCAGTCCGACTTGCTGTGAGAAATTGCACATTGCTAATTTATGGGAAGTCGTAATATATTTATAGGTTATCGATTGTCCCGTACAACTAGGTACAATAATGTAGTAATTTCCAGAGTTTCGTACATTCACAAAGACACAGAATTATTGTTTCATGTCATTTTTGTTATCAGATGTTAGAGTTAAATTATTCAAAATGAAACTAAGGTTGTGTTCACGGATTTATTTTTACGAACACTACCCACTTCGTTCATCCATCTTCGTTCACATTATTTTTTTTTCGGACTACTCTAATGCTGTTGGCCGCAGCTGGCCTTTACAGCTTCACCGGACGATAGGGGGCGAGTGCAGATGGCACTCCAGACCCGCGGAAGGACTTATGGAGCGGCTGAAGGCCAACTTTCGCCTGACGGATACGACTTTAGTCTGAGGGCACCACTGGGGGTTCGAACCTCCCCCCACTCAGATGAGTGGCGTTCATTTTATAAACAATCATTGAGTCGTTACACAACTTATTTTATTTAATAAGTGAAATTCATTTACAATGTTTCTAAAGTTTTATAAATAAATACATTAAATAATAAATATGAAAATGTAATATTATAATTAATACTAAATACAGTTTCTACAAATAAACTATAAATAGTTATTTCACATTTATTGCAAAAGTCAAATGCATACAATATAAATCATATTAGATACTCAATTATATATTTAAATATATGGTAGTTTCACACACTTAAACTTAAATTGTAAAGTAAGAATAAAATTATTAAAAAGAGCAACACGCAAGTTTCTTGCTCGTTCTTCTTGTGATGAGACAGCTTTCCGAATGAGCGGTAGATTAAAAAAATGTAATGACTATTCAAAAGTGCTTCAATGTAAGTTTATTTGAATAAATGATTTTCTATTCTATTCTATTCATGTTAGATAAAAAATTACTTTGATGTTACGCAGATAACTCAACGGTATGTATATCACGACCTGATTTTGTTGGGATTTTTTACCGCCTCAACATCTAGTTTGAGTGAGATAAACACCACAATATATTTTTAATTAATTAATATAATTTATGCTTATTAACTTATAAAGTAAATATATAAATAGTAAATATTAAATCTAATTATAATTATGATATAAAATGTATGTTCTAGAAGTTTGATATAATCATGTATATTTTTGAGTACAAGATATAAGTTCTGATTTGACCATAACAGTCCTACCTACTGACTTTAAAAATAGAACCGCCATATTGTGTGCACAGTTCAGTTCTGTTTAAACGCTCCAAGGCTGTACGGTCTAAAGATATTTGCCTGTTCCATCACTGAAAAGGAGATGGACGAATATGGAAAAAAAAATGAAATGCTCAAAGTGTAAAGATCATATAACTGAAGAAAGAAGTCAATAGTGTTTGTGTCTCATTGCTGCTGCCGCTTCGTAACAAAGGAGTTGGCGCAATAAAAATATAAAAGTCTACTCTCGCAATTCGTCTACGTCATTTCCCCTCGTTTCTGCCGCAGATTTCGGTGTTTTCCCAGATCATTTGATAACCGTATATGACATGGGCTGTATGCATTTGCCACCATCGTAGTATAAAAAAAAATGGATATTGGTATATTTCACTAGTCTGTACGTCAGACAATTTGTTATGATGAGCTGATCGAGCTGACCTCATATTCATCTTATCCTCCACTGGTGCCCCGCCAGCGTAAACTGTTAGCGCAGGCGAGCGTACCATTCCATTATCATCCTCGAAAAAAAAGAAAAAGAAATTCTCTATGAATTTGTCATATGATTTGTGCCTGGTCACTTTTTTTTAAGTTCATCGTCATTTTCTTTGCCATTCAATTTCATAAAAAAAACAACTCAAATAATGGCTGTATTGTTTAAACCATAGACAAAAAAGTATTACTTTTTTATTGGATTCTCAGATGTTTTGCGTATAGAGGTCTAGGAAGCCGTCTAGGGCGCTCCTAAATAAGATATCTAGAAATAAATTATTTAGATAAACGCTCGTGTCTCAGCCAAATAAACGATTCTGAACGTCGGTCGGTTTCGTTGGAGTAATTGATAGGCGGTCGCGGATTGCGAATGCTAGCAGATAATGTAGGGATGGTTTTGGGCCGATAAAGTAATTAATAATTATTTTATTTATTTATACTTTCTATTACACCAAATACAGAAAATAATTAAAATTTAAACTGATACAAAAGGCAGTCTTATCGCTAAGCAATCTCTTCAAGACTATCTTTGGGTAGAGAAAGTAATATTAAGACAAGAAAATGGTGGTGCACGTAATGAACATAAATCCTAACTACAATTATAAATGCGAAAGTAACTCTGTCTGTCTGTCTGTTTCGCTTTCACGTTAAAATTACTGAACCAATTTAAATGAAATTTGGTGCTCAGATAGTCAAGACCCTGAGAAGTTGTAAGGGGTTAAAAAGGGCGATGATAATTTGTATGGAACTATTGTAGTTTTCAAAAGGTAGAAGCTTGAAACTTATATTTTAGGCTATTGATTGAATATAAATAAAAAATAGGGTTATCAATCGAATGTCGTGGTGAGTCGTAACGCTAACGAATATACGCCAGCGAGATACCAATGAAAGATGATAAGATGAACATTCATTCAGCAATTACTACATTACTAATGAAATAACAATGGAGGCTCCATTTTTACGTTAGAGTGAGTGAGTGTAGA